TGCCACTAGTGCATTGATATATCTTGTCGAATATTGATATATCTTGCTAATAATATTCAACAAGATATAGTTCTGCTCCAACACGAAGACATTGGAATGAAATTAAACATATACTATATTAACTTCGAGGAATAATTGATATGGGTTCATATTACTCTAATAAATCAAAGACAAGATTAATTGGTTATGCAGATGCGAGTTATTTATTTGATCTACACAAAGCTCGATCACAACTAATTATATATTTATATATGAAGATACGATTATACATTGGCGTTCTATGAAGCAAACCATAGTTGCCACATCTTCAAATTATGTAGAAATATCAATTCGGGAGGCAAGTCGAGAATGTGTTTAGCTAAGATCAATGATCCATTATATTCGAGAGACATGCAGTTTATCTATCGACAAAAGAAGTTCTAAGAACATCATATAAGGATAATGTCGCTTGCATAACTCCATTGAAGGAAGAATATATCAAAGTGACAATCCATCAAATTTGTTTACTAAGGCATTACCTATCGTAACTTTTGAGAAGATGATTCACAAGATTGAAATACGTCATTTTAAAGATATTAAATGATATTTTCAACGGGGAGGCCAAAGGCCAACACTAAGATTAATATATACAAGGAATATTATACTCTTTTTCCTTCACTAGGACTTTTTTCCGTTGGGTTTTTTCTAGTATGGTTTTAACGAGACATGTTCCTTGTACAATGGACATTAAAGGAAAAGTGTTATGAAATAATGAATGTCCATCATCATGTTCATCCACTTTTCATATCCCCACTACTCATGATTCTTAATATGATTCAATTCATCATTCAATATGAGAAATTGAAAGGGTGATGCAATTAATTATTCATAGTCCCTTTCAATTCTCTCCTCAATTTTGAAGCCTATAAATAGGCTTGATTGTTCATTAGTTGATGTAGAAGTTTTCTAGAGAGAATAAGAGAAACTTTGAAGTTCTTATCACTTATATTCACATTATAGTGATTTCATTTTCTTGTCATTCTTTTCTTCAATTATCCTATTCTTTTTATTTATTTTATAATAATTTTTTTATCAAACAATAATAATAATAATAATAATAAAACAAATGATGACTAAATAAAAAAGCATTGTGTAAAAACATTATTTAAAAGGACAAAGTGAAACAAATTTTAAAAAATTCAAAATAAAATAAAATAAGCTCGCCACCAAGTTGAGAAATATAATATTGCTCATTAATGTTTCTTGATAGAGTCAATCATTTTATTACAAATATGCATAACAACTCGTCAATTAAAATAATTATATATGTATAAAAGCCGACAATTAAAATAATGATTTAACACCTTTTTTTTAATCTTGAATGGTTATAGTTTTCACTATCTCTTTTTTATCTATAGTTTGTTTGTCTTGTGTGATAAAATATTTTATTGAGATATGCAAATAGACTTAAGAAGCTCGTTTTAACTTGATGTAGTACAAAATGATAGGGATTTTATATATATGTAAAATGATAAAATTTCAATGACCAAAATAAAATAAAAATCACATAAAATAGACCAAAATAAAAAGAAAATTTTCACTAAAAAAACATAAGAACAATAAAACAAAGAACCCATTATACAAAAGGTAGGAACAAAATCACACATAAAAAAACTTTAATGATCAAAACAAAATAAGGATTGCATAACGAAACCAAAATGAAAAGAAAATTTTAGCGAGAAGCCAAAGAACGGGCTAAGGAACAATAAAATTTTAGAGATTACATTATCTTCATCTAGCAATAAAAAGTTTAATATAGTCTTTTTTAGGTCTTTGGTGTTGTTATTCTTCCATATTCATATTCGATATCAAAACTTATAAAATCTTTTATATACGATCTAAATATAACTAAATTCTAAAAAACAAAAAACCAGATTATTTATTTGCAAGATAGAAAAATTATTTAAATAAATAGATATGCTAATTTACTTCAGTTATGTACTAAAACAAGTCATTCTATTTAGTGCATCTTGCGCATTCGTCGTGACGTCAATTAAACAAGTATTTTTATGTATTCAATCGTATAAAATAAAGAGTTCTAACAATCTATACAATGGTTGTAATAAAACAATATAAAAATAGATTATTTCAAAATTCTTAGATAAATCTAATTTATAAGAATGCAAAATAAAAGGTCTTAAATTGATTTTTTTTTATCAAACAATATTAAGAAAAAAAATATACCAAATGATAACTACAATATAAAGCATTGTGTAAAAAAATTATTTAAAAGGATTAAGTGAAATTTTTTTAAAAAAAATTCAAAAAATAAAATAAAATAAGCATCCCAAGTTGAGAAATATAATATTGCTAATTAATGTTGTTTGATACAATCAATCATTTTATCACAAATACGTAAAACGACCGACAATTATGTGTAATAATTGATAATTAAAATAATGATGTAGTAGCTTTTTGAATCTTGAATGGTTATAGTTTTCATTATCTCTTTTTTTATCTATAATTTGTTTGTCTTGATGTGATAAAATATTTTATTGAGATATGTAAATAGACCTAAGAAGTTCTGCTTTAGCTTGATGTAGTACAAAATGATAGGGATTTTATATACATGTAAAATGATAAAATTTCATTGACCAAAAAAAAAAAAAATCACATAACATAGACCAAAATAAAAAGAAAATTTTCACTAAAAAAAAATAGAAGAACAATAAAACCAAAAAACCCATTGTGCATAAAGTAGGGAAAAAAATCACACATAAAAAAACTTCAATAATCAAAGCAAAATAAGGATCGCATAACAGGAACCAAAACGAAAAAATTTTTTTAGCCGAAGCCAATGAAGGGGCTTAGGAATAGTAAAATTTTAGAGATTATATTATTTTTATTTAGAAATAAAGAATTTTAATTTAGTCTCGCTTCTTTTTTAAGTCTTTGGTGTTGTTATTCTTCCATATTCATATTTGATATCAAAACTTATAAAATCTTTCATATACAATTCTAAATATAACTAATTTCTCCAAAAAAAGAAAAAAATAGATTGTTTATTCGCAAGATAGAAAAAATTATTTGAATAAATAGATATGCTGATTTTACTTTAGTTACGTATTAAAATCAAATCAAAGAGCTTATTTTCAATAATGCAATAAAATATTTTAAATGAAAATGAAAACACAATAATAAAAACGAGGACAATAAGGATAATTTTAAATTTTAAAAGATTCAAATAAAAGTATAAAATAAGAACCGAAAGGAAGAAGCAAAAAAACTTTGCAACATATAGAGCCAAAAATCACATGACCAAAATAGAGGTAGATCACATAACATGGATTAAATCAAACAAAAAATTCACAAAAAGCCAAAAAATTAAAGAAGCTTAGCTACAACGAAACTATTTTTAGTATATTTACTAGTATGCATTCTCGCACAATTCCACAAAGTGAGCTATAAAGCTTTCTCATGTGTTCTACTATATAAAATAGAGAGTTCTAACAATTCATGTAATAGTAGTAATACGATAGTTTAAAACAATATGTAAAGAAATTATTTTAAAACTTTTAGATAAATCTACTTTACAAGAATAAAAAACAAAGAATCTCATATTGACTTTTTATTAGACAATAATACGAAAATAATATACAAAACGATGACTATAATAAAAAAACTCCCTGCAAAACAAGTTTTGTAAGAAGACTATGCAAAAAAATTCTAAAGAAAATCTACAATGTTGGGCAATATAATGTTGTTAATTAAATGTTACTTGATACAATCATGTATTTTATCAAAAAACAAATATAACAACTAGCAATTAGAATAATGATGTAACAACTTTTTAAATCTTTAATGGTCATATTTTCCATCTTTTTTTATTATTATTATTTATCTATAGTTTGTTTGTCTAATTGATATGATCAAACTTGTTGGATATTGTTGGATTAAAAAAAGAAGAAGAAATATTATGTCAACATAAGCGAATAGATGGAAAAAACTCTATTTTAGCTTGACACAGTACAAAATAGTTGAGATTTTATATACATACAAAATGATAAAACTTTAATAACAAAAATAAAAAATCGAAATAGAAAGAAATTTTTTACTAAAAGACAAACAAGATATAGGAACATTGAAACAAAAAAAAAAAAAAAAACACACTATGCATTAAGATAGAAGTAAAAATCACACATAACAAATTTTTAATGATGAAAACAAAATAAGAATCACCTAATATGGACAAAAAATAGAAAAAAAAATTTAGCTAAAAGTCAGAAAAGGGCTTAGGAACATTAAAATTTTGAAGAATTTAATTTAGTCCTTTTTTATTTGGGTTTATTATTTTTCGTATTCATATTTGATATCAAAATTTATAAAATCTTTTCCCTTATAACCCTAAATATAACCAATTTCTCCAAAAAAAAATATCAGATTTTTATTAGCTAGGCACAAAAATAAAATAAATAAATGAATGAATAAAAAAAATAAAATAAATAGTTTTTGAAATAAAGAGAACTAATTAATTTTTTTCTCAAGGGATTAATTTATAATTTACTCATTATTACTATTAGTACGTACATAAGAGACTCAGCTCATCGTTATCTTCCCAGCACAACCTTTTTAATTTCTTGTTTCTCAACTGCTTACTGGTAATAACAAACGACACTATCTATATTTTTTCAATTTGATATTTAGTACTAATTTCTTTGAATTTGCTGTTTATATATGACATCACATTTGATTGAACTTTATCTAAATTTACTCAAACTTTCAATCTGTCAATCCCATCTTAGATTCACAAGTTGCTGTCTGTCTAAAAGCATTAGTTTTCATCAAATTTACAGACAAGTTCCATGATAAACTTTTCAAATCTTTCTTTGTTTTATTTTTGATTTATTGTAAAAGTTATGAATGTCTCTAGATGCTACTGATCAGGTAATGATGTCTACAATGTTGACAATTTTTATTTATTTACTGTCATTGCTTTAGGGTGGTTTGGTTTTTACTCAGCAATGAGCTCTGAGAGCGTTAAAGAGGACTGTCTTGCATGGGCGGCGAGAGACCCATCTGGAGTTTTATCGCCTTACCAGTTTAGTCGCAGGTATATTGATTGATGCATTTGCTTATAAAACAATGTCATTTTAGAGAATTGTGTACAACCCCATGAAGCAACATACGATGAACCAACCTGGTAAATCTCTTGGAGTGATTGGTCTCGGTGGTCTGGGTCACATGGCAGTGAAGTTTGGTGAGGCTTTTGGATTGAAAGTCACTGTTTTAATTTAACAGCAATGAGTTCTATAAATCAATTTGCACAGTTAGCGTGTTTGAACAATGCATTTGCTTAGCGTGTTCTATAAAAATAACTTAAACTGGTAGGTGGGTCTGGCTTTTGATCATATTCATTTTCTTAATACCTTACTAGCCTTGGCAAGCTTGGAGTGGCCCTTCTATGTCGCATTAATGCCCAACGTCAACAAGATTGGTAAATGGAAAATGAAATGGGGCCTCTTTCCAGTTTCCAGCTGTTCAAAAAATTTCAAATTAAAGATTTATTCTCCTAATGATATTTGATATTTTTACACAGGCTTATTCCAAATCACTTAGACTTCATAACCGACACAGCATCAGGCGAACACCCATTTGATCCATACGTGTCTCTTTTGAAGACTGCTGGTGTTTTTGTTCTTGTTGGATTCCCAAGTGAAGTGAAATTCAGTCCTTCAAGTCTTCTAATTGGTAATTTACTCCAGACTTTTTTACTTAATTTTTAAGTTTATCCTACATTTGGTCCTTGTGTAATTTTAATTTTTTTAATTGAGACCCTATACGATTGTTCAGTCTGATTAAAATCCTCTAGTCTTATAAATTTATTGATTAAGACCCTCCGTTATAACTACGTCAACTATTCATCTAACGTGACACATTATTATTAATGTTCACAAATCGTTGATTGACATATGGCATTGTAGGTTTCAAATAACAGTGTTTTTGTCCAAAATTAAAAAAAAAAAAAGATTTAAAGATTTAAATATTCATAGATAAAATCTTTTTCATTATTAACACTATTCTAGTTGAAAAGCTCATCATCAGAAATAACAAATCACAATTTGATCGGCAATAAAAATGAAGAACATACTTTGTTTTCTTTTGTTGCCAGCCACACCCTCAAATAAGATAAGGTTGGCTTATATAATCGTCACTCAAGTGACATTAGTTTAGGTCCCTTTTTTTCCTTTTATTACCCAAAAGAGCATATGTGATTGTCTAACGCTAAAATGGAGATGAGACTCTCATTATTTAAAACATCCCAAGCTGAATCATTAGAAGCTTTGAACAAGTCCAAGCAACATTAATTCTTTGATAAGCCCTTTGTTTCAAAACTTCTCGTAATATTCTTCACATATGTATAATCTGCCGCCGGATAATCATCATTGATCAGCTCTTTTGGAGGTCCAATTATAGCATCCGGTGAAGGACAATAAAACGTCGGTATAGATATTCGTTCTTTGTCGCAGTTAACCACTGCTCGATGTAGCACACTCTTGTAACGGCCATTGCTAAGGACCTAATCATAACACAATTTTTTTTAAAAAATAATAATTAATAAGTTTTTTAATTTAATATTACTTTGTTGTTTTTTCAAATAACTTAATGAAATGAACGAAAAAGACTAATTAATTAATTTAAAAAAAAAACTTTGTAATTCATTTTGCAAAAATAGAAAGACTAATTTACAATTTACTCTTGCATTAACTGAAACCCCATTTTTTATAAATGTTTTGTCCTTAAATAGGAAAGGATAGAAAGGTTCACCTGCATTTGATCACCAATGTTGACGATGAAGGTGTTGGGAATGGGATTCACAGGAATCCATTTGTCATTTCTCAGAACCTGCAATCCAGGCACGTCATCTTGAAACAGAATGGTGATTAAATTAGGGTCAGTGTGTCCAGGCAATCCATACGTGAGCTCTGGCTGTGGACAGGGTGGGTAGTAGTTCATAGCCATATGCTGTCCATGCTTCCCTAATTTCTTATCTATATAGTCCTTTTCCAGCCCCAAACTTTCTGATATGGCCTCAAGCAGTCTTAACACTAGACCTCTAACACTTTTGCAATATTCAAGCACATCGTTCCTGGAAAACGGGAACGAAAGAAAGACAAAAGGTATGATGTCCACTAATCTAAACAGCAGCTAAAAAATAAGAACGAAAAAATTAAACAAATTTCAGACACATTCAATTACCTGAATGATGGAGGATTGCTAGGCCATTCACGTATGTAGTCTTGATCAAGAGGGTAACAATGAAGTCTCAAGAAATCTCTCCAGCTAGAAACTTGTTCTGTCTTAACATTAAAACTGGTAGACAACCTGGTTGTCTTAGTAGGATCATCAGAGTAATATTTTAACCTTTCACTTTCGGGCAGTTCGAAGAATTTTCTAGCCATGTTTAGTACGTTGTTGATCATTTCCTCTGGTATCCCGTGGTTCTCCACCTGACACCAATTGTACGTACATGTATTTTGTAAGAAAAACAAGCATATAGATTTTTATTAATTAGAAGGGCGCAAAGCTCAAAAATACAACAAAAACACTTACACGCGGTCCTGGCAAAGCAAAAGAAAGATGTAAATGAGGAAGAAGTAACAAAAAATGAACATAGTTTTATTACCTGAAAGAAGCCATCATTCTTGCATGCTTGGGCAATTTGTTTGATTATTAGAGAGTGGTTAGGACCATTAAGACCCAGAAGGTCAATTAGAGGAATGGTGGAGCCATCCGAAATCTGAAGATCGGAGAGATTCGGACGGTCGGAGATGGGACGGATGTACTTAGATGGAATTTGTTTCACACCTGAAGAAGCAAGGTCGGCTAGGAGTAGGTTAGCAGTGGGAGCCATGACTAGGTGAGGAAGGAACAGACTCTTATTTTGATATATAAGTTGTCAAGCTGATGAAAATGAAGATACGATTGTCCATATTTATAGGAGAAACTAGAGGTTGCAATTGCATGCCATTTTAACTAGCATGCCATGTGAAATGGCTTGTTCCTTTCTGCATAATTAATGCCTTGCAGCTCGTAGCTGGGCTACTTGGATGTCCTTTTTCACTGAGCCAATGAGTAGGAATTTCTAAGTTTGAGATACTTGAAACTGTAAGTGTTCCTTACCGACTTACCGTTTGGGAAGTAAATTATAAATTAGGCCCTCTATGTTTTCGAAATCAGCAACAATAGTCCTTCTAATTTCAAAAACTATTTAATTGGTCCATATATTTTTAAATTAACTTAATTCTTTTGGTTCTTTTTAATTTGTTTTTTGTTTTGTTTTAATAGATAGAAAAAAAGAAGTAAAAACTTAAAAGTATTAATGAAAAAAGTATTTTTAAAATAAAATAATATTAAATTAATCATAATCAATAATGATTAAGAAATTAATTAATAAATTGCCACTTATTTACCATTACCCTTTAAACTAAGCTTAAAAAATACTGTACATTTACAGTCTTAACTGATATGCTAAATCAAATGCTACGCGAAGGGAAACTCTAATTTGAAATTTTGAGATAATGTAATAAAATTCTATTTGATTTTTTCATATCAAAACTGATATGCTAAATCAAAATAGATTTAATTTTATTGTTAAAAAAAAAAATTGGCATGTCATGTCAAAATAGATTTAATTTTATTGTAAGAAAATGGCATGCTATCCTCCTTGTCGTTTTCCTCAGTCAATGATAATCTATATATATGATTTGGTCAGATCTTTATGTTGGTAAGCACCCGCCAACCCTCCAGGAACTTAAATTAAGGATCATCGTATGGCATATATCAACATGAAAAAAAATACACATATCATCATGTAAAAAAAATAAATAGTTTATTTTATTGATGAAAGATTTTAATTTCATTGACATCTTTGCGACAATATAATACAAAAAAACTAAGAAGATAATTACAATTTGTTACCTTAAAAAAAATAAAACAAAATTACAACAAAATCCTTTTACAATAATAATAAGTAATGATCTTTTAAATCCAAATATTCTATTTATAGATATTAATAGACGACAATGCCAAACTCTATTGATAGGAAAATCTCAACTATCCAAAATTGCCAAAGAGTATGATAGTCTCTCTCAACCAATAAAAAGCATTCGCCATAACCTAGTAAAAAAACATGAAGTCTTATTTGAATGATAAAACATCCTTAATAGGAACTTTATGTACAAATCAAATTTAGATTTAAAATGTAGTTCTAAATTATTAACCCACTAAAAAGAAAAGCAAAATAAAACAAAGAAAAGAAAAAGGAAGGACTAGGGAGATTAAGGGTTGGGCTGGTGATTTTCTTAGAGACGATGGCTAATTTTTAATTTTATTTTTTCCAAAAGAAAATTAAGAGTAAGGATAGCAATATTGCTGAGGTGAGAGTTGTTGAATTATTTAATTTGAATAAAATATTGCACAGGCATCTAGTTCAAGTTGAAGTGATTGTTTCTAAATTTTTGCCCTTCTACCTCCCACTTTTCAGTCTGAGATCCATCCTTTGGATCTATCTTATTGATTCGAAAATACAGCAATCAATCACTCTCAAAAAAAAAAAAAAAAAAAAAAAAATCAAAGTTTAAGAGCACCCAAATCTCGTAGGTTCTAAAAAATCAAATAAAGTACTTCAGTAAATGCCATATTTTGGTACAATATTGATTTAGCAAAATATATAAATGACTTCTATAAATAAATAAATGACACCTAATTAAGTCGGCAAGTGGCCTGCATGGGGATTTCCTTTAGGTAAAGTAGCCAACATCAACCCGAGACATGTGGTGGACGCAAGGATGTTACGCCGAGACATGCTTTGGACGTAAGGACAACTTCTACAATGACACATGCCATCTCACATCACTTGAAAAACGTGAGACATTTGAACGAAAGAATTTTTAATTATTTAAACAAATAATTTTATAATGGAGTTTTTTTTTTTAATGAAAAAACTGCTTAAATAATTATTTTTGTTTTATGTACTCAACAAAATAAGAAAGGATTAATTTAGAGCTCCCGAGAGGATGATATAGAGGCAAATAGGTAATATCTTCTCAATTCATGCATAGTCTTTTTATAGGTAGAGAGTAATTTATGAAATATTGAAGAGTTGATCTTTATTTCTCTTCATGAAATATGACATGCGTGCTTTGGTAAGATATCATCTGACGTCCATGCATAGCAAAACTTGGCTCAACCTCTCGTCAATACATCCACTTCCACCTGGATTATTACTAGAGTAAATTATAAATTAGTCCAATTATTTAGTCTCTTAATTATAAATATTAGATCATGTTTAATTTTATATTATTTTAATTTAATTTAATTTTTTTTATCAATCTTTCTATTATATCTATTCATTTAATTTATTTATCATTATATAACAATATTAATATTAAAAAAAATTAAAATTTCAATCTTTACACCTTATAGTCCATTTAAACGATTTTATTAATATGTTTAATTAATAAAAATATATAAATTAAAATAAATTTATTAATAATTGTTAAAATATTTATGATCATCACAATCAATATTTTATCACATTAATAAATCAGAACATATGATTCTAACTGTGATAATTTTTTCAATCGATTTCGCATTTTAAGAAATTTAAGGTTTGAAAAGATCTCCACTTTAAATCATGTTTTAACTTAATGAGAGAGTGATGCAGCAAATCCTAAACCATGTAGTCATAATGAAGTTGGAAAATGGAGTTTCATGAAATATGACGTGCGTGCTTTGGTAAGATATTATCTGACGTCCTTGCTTTCCTAAGCCTGGCACAACCTAGTCAATGCATCCACTTCCACCTTGATTATTAATAGAGTGAATTATAAATTAAATTTTTAGTTTTAAGAAACGAATTGATTAATTTTTTTATTTAAAAAAATTAATTATTTAGTCTCTTATATGATCTTTCATATATACATGGTTAGATGGTTTTTACAACATCCCGTTCTAGCATACTTGTCGAATTTTGGAGTCTTCAAATTGGTTGGTTTTTTCAATTGCTTTTTTTTTTTTTTTTTATAAAAAAAATCAAATAAGAAAATAACATAAAATGAATAAAAAGAATTGAATAAATAGTTTTTGAATAAATAATTTTTGAAACAAGGAGAACTATCTAATTTTTTTCTCAAAACATGAGGGACTAATTTATAATTTACTCATTATCACTATTGGTACGTATACAAGGGACCCAGCTCATCCATAACTTTCCAGCACCACCAGCTTGAATCTTGTTGCTCAACTGCTAACTGGTAATAACGAACGACACTCTCTATCTTCTTTCAATTTGATATTTAGTATTAATTTCTTTGAATTTACTGTTTATACGTGACATTAAATTTGATTGCCCTTTTATCTAAATTTACTCAAACTTTCAATCTGTCAATCCCATCTTAGATTCATACGTTGCTGTCTGTCTAAAAGCATTAGTTATCATCAAATCTACTGACAAGTTCCATGATAAACTTTTCAAATCTTTCTTTGTTTTATTTTTGATTTATTGTAAAGTTTATGAATGTCTCTAGATGCTACTGATCAGGTAATGATGTATACAATGTTGGCAATTATTATTTACTTACTGTCGTTGCTTTAGGGTGGTTTGGTTTTTACTCAGCAAAGAGCTCTGAGAGCGTTAAAGAGGACTGTCTTGCATGGGCGGCGAGAGACCCATCTGGAGTTTTATCGCCTTACCAGTTTAGTCGCAGTTATATTGATTGATGCATTTGCTTATTAAACAATGTCATTTTAAAGAATTGTGTACAACCCCATGGTGAGACATAAGATGAACCAACCTGGTAAATCTCTTGGAGTGATTGATCTCGGTGGTCTGGGTCACATGGCAGTGAAGTTTGGTAAGGCTTTTGGATTGAAAGTCACTGTTTTAATTTAACAGCAATGAGTTCTATAAATCAATTTGCACAGTTAGCGTGTTTGAACGATTGGAGCTTTTTGTGGATTGGGGCGAACTGATCCATCAACAAGACTGTCTGTTCTGCCTTCCTTCTTAAACTGGTAGGTGGTTCGGTAGGCCATGCCCATCAGGTTAATATAATTGGATTGGTGAATCACTAGCCTTGGCAAGCTTGGAGTGGCCCGTCTTTGTCGCATTAATGCCCAACGTCAACAAGATTGGTAAATGGAAAATGAAATGGGGCCTCTTTCCAGTTTCCAGCTGTTCAAAAAATTTCAAATTAAAGATTTATTCTCCTAATGATATTTGATATTTTTACACAGGCTTATTCCAAATCACTTGACTTTATAATCGACACAGCATCAGGCGATCAGTCCTGCAAACCTTCCAAATCACCATTTGATCCATACTTGTCTCTTTTGAAGACTGCTGGTGTTTTTGTTCTTGTTGGATTCCCAAGTGAAGTGCAATTCAGTCCTGCAAACCTTCTAATTGGTAATTTAACCCAGACTTCTTTTTTTTTTTTTTTTTTTTTTTTTTTTTTTCTGATAGTCTTCCATTGATAACAAAAATTGCAAGCGAAATTAATTGCTCAAACTAACATTCCGGCAGGTAGGAAAACTGTATCTGGTAGCGCAACAGGTGGAACCAGGTTGACCCAAGAGATGTTGAACTTTTGTGCTGCTAATAAAATTTACCCCAAGATCGAAGTAATTGCAATTCAGTACATAAATGAAGCTCTTGAGAGGATGATAAAGAACGATGTGAAGTACCGGTTTGTAATTGATATTGAGAACTCCTTGAAGTGAAGACATAGAAGCAGTCAGGAAAATCTCTCCTCAATTCATACATACAGTCATAATACTCATACTCTACGTCTACGCCTGGTATTTTTCTTCCATGAAAGAAATCTGGGTTTGACCTAATCCATACTACTGTTAAAATAATGAATCATTTAGATGTTGTACTCCAGCAAACAATTTTTGTGATCTATAGTACTCTATCGAATAAAAGAAAGTAGTTTGTCAAATTTTGATCAGAGCAACTTTTATTTTTAATCTTCAACCTCTTTTGGCATACTGTTGATTAAAATGCAAATGCAATGTAGCTGGTTTTATGAATGCGTGCTAGTTTGTGTAGTCCGATATGCAATGTGATTGATTCAACGTTATACCAATACCATATTTCAAATTTAGCACCAGGCTTAAAGATATTTGAAAGTGTTGTTTCCAAGAATCGTTGTTTCTACCGTTTTCCCTTTTCTTACACTCAAAACTAGAGTGGTCAAGCATGCTTTTGGCCCAATACCTTTTAGCACTACAAATTAAAAATATTTGGTGAAGAATTTGCATTTAAAAAAATTATTGAAAAAAAGAATCCATTCCTGCACCTCTCTCGTATCTGCGGTTGCATTAATCACACGTTAAAACTGTGAGTTTTTTTTAAAAAAAGAATATCCTAAAAGAAATGGAAGCGAATTTCTGGACTAAGCGTGAAGACAATAAGAATAATTTTAAATTTTAAAAGATCGAAATAAAATTATAAAATAAGAACTAAAATGAAGAAGCAAAAAACCTTTGCAACATGTAGAGCCAAAAATCACATGACCAAAATAGAGGTAAATCACAAAACATGGATTAAATTGAACAAAAAATTCACAAAAAGCCAAAAAAAAAAAAAAAAAAAGCTTAGCTACAACAAAACTACTTTTAGTATATTTACAAGCATGCATTTCGAGCCAGCCTTCTTATGTGTTCAACTATATAAAAGAGAGAGTTTTAACAATTCATGTAACAGTGGTAACAAAATAGTTTAAAACAATACGTAAAGAAATTATTTTAACAATTTTAGATAAATCTACTTTATAGGAATAAAAAATAAACAATCTCATATTGACTTTTTATTAGACAATAATACAAAAATAAAATACAAAACAATGACTGCAATAAAAAAAATTTCGTGCAAAACAGTTATTTAAAAAGACTATGCAAAAATTCAAAGGAAACATCTACAATGTTAAGCAATATAATATTGTTAATTAAATATTACTTCATATAATAATATATTTTATAAAAAATATATATATAAAAACTAGCAATTAAAATAATTATGTAATAGCTTCTTGAATCTTTAATGGTCATATTTTTCACCTTTTTTTTAATCTATAATTTGTGTGTCTAATTGATATGATCAAACTTGTTAGATATTATTGGATAAAAAAAAAAATATATTATGTGGACACAAGCGAATAGATGTAAAAATCTTTGTTTTAGCTTGGCATAGTACAATATAGTTGAGATTTTATATACATGCAAAACGACAAAACTTTAATAACAAAAATAAAAAACAAAAATAGAAAGAAATTTTTTTACTAAAAAGATATAGAAACATTAAAACAAAAAAAACAATTTCTCCCAAAAAATATCATATTTTTATTCGCAAGACACAAAATAAATAAATAAATAGACATGCTAATTTACTTCGATAATGTATTAAAATCAAATAAAAAAACCTATATATTTTCAATAATTCAATAAAATATTTTAAAAAATTTAACGTACAACAATATAAATGAGCACGATAAGAATAATTTCAAATTTTAAAAAATCTAAATAAAAGTATAATGTAAGAACCAAAACGAAGAAGTAAAAAAAGCTTTTTTGCATAATGGGTAAAAAATCACACTTTCAAAACTTCAATGACCAAAATTAAAATATCAAAAAAATCAAAACCCAAATGAACACACAAAAAAAAAAAAAAAAAATTCACAAAAAGCTAAAAAAAGAGCTTAACGATTATGGTAAAACTACGTTTGATTTTTATCATATTTACTAGCATGCATAGTAAGCAAATAGGAAACGAGAGCATGTGAATAGTCCGAGAATATTAGCACTCCATTACTTCTAGGTTTTTGTACAATTAATAGGCCTTCCGTGGAAGTTTATTCAAATACAAGACACCACTGTGACTTCAGAGTCGATGCAATAATTGCTGACAACGACCTTGTGTCTGATTTCTTCCAGGTACGTCTGAATCTTCACTTCCTTTCGCTTGGGTCAGGATTCGCTAACGCGTAGTCATCCATAGAAATCTCCAATGTTCTATTATCGCCGATGCCTTTTCCTTCATCAGGCTGCTTAGCAGCATTTTCGTCCTGCCTTTTGCCCCACAGTACACAATAAAGGCCAAGAACAATAAGACCTGTTCCTATCATGCTGGGAAATGTCAAGTGCAAATCCAGTGAAAAGTCATACATTTAAAATCAATACCAGGATACAAATAATGGTAGAGATACCGAAAGAATTAAAGGTCTGAATTGTTAGAAGACAAGCATCTAATAGCTCACCTTCCCAAATGAATTCTTTCTGCAAAAGCAATTGCTGAGAATATTCCGACGAAGACAACTTGTAGTGGAGTAAACATTGCTGCGAAAACTGGTCCGTTGTGACTAATACACCATGTTTGCAGGTAGTAGACTAATGCTGCGATCACTACTCCCTATAGCAAAATATATATCAGCAAAAAACAAATGAACGACTTGAATGACTACATAGCATCAAATTAATGAGTTATGCAGAAACTACTTACACAGTATATAATGGTCACGAGCTGGATATTCCACTCCAACTTCCACATTGCGGGATTTCTTGCACAAAACAGTGCAAGGAAAGAAGATTGGATTGATGCGAAGAAGCAAATCAAAGTGTTCAGCGATAAACGAGCTGGATAGACTTTGTGAACTACAGCCTGAGCGAGTAGGACAGAATTATTAGCAAAACCTTAAAGAACATGTCTAATTCAAATAAAACAGATAATTACCTGGAGAATTAGCGACGCACTCCCTGCAATATTGCTTGTAAGAATAAGTGCAGAACCCTTGATCCAGTTTTCTTTACCATGCCTGTACTCACCAGCAGAACCTTTGGTGCTATTAATGTTTATCAATGGCCTGCTCTCAATACTTTGGAACAGATATCCTCCTTTCCAGAAGGTGAAAACCAGCGAACCAGTAATGCAGATAACTGCGCCTAACATTTTAGCCCATCCTCTAAGACTTGTAATCTTCACTTTCTCCATCCTGAATAAGATAGATGCAAATCAGGAAGATGGGATCTAGATTCTAGTGAACTTAAAAGTGGATCAGCTGAATTGATTATTCATTGAGGTCATTCGAGCAATATTACCCTAGTAACACTGCCATGATGAATGTAAAACTCAGGACAACATTACTCAAAGCGGTTGCAACTGTTGGAGAAGTATATGCCATACCAGCATAGTAAACATTAAGATTGATGGTAGTTGCTAGCGTTGAAAGCACAAAAATCTTTGTGATCACCGACAACGAAAGCGAAGGGCGCTGCTTCCTGCTTTGCAAAAACATAAATTACAAGTTCTCATATTCTCCGAATAGCTGTAATTACAAATCCATGATATTTTAAGCTATTCTGTTAGTACTAATGTTATTTTCTTAACTGTAAAAAAACGCATGAGGAAACTTGATTACCAACAAATGAATGCAACAACATTAATCATAGATAGTTCTTTACCTTTCAAGTACATAAGCAAAAGGGCCCAACAAAATCATAGCAATTACATGACGGTAGACCACAAGGACAAGTTGATTGGATCCTTTCTCAAGAGCAACTTTCATGAGGATATTTGCTCCTCCACAAGCTAACTGAACTAGTATTATTGCCGCATATGAAGCACAGGTTTCCATGGTTACGCAATATTTGTTCACTGCAACGGAAGACGGAACACTTGATCAGTTTGCCCTTTAAATATTGATAAAGGATCAATCTCAGCCACTTCTTGTGTGAAACAATGACATCTCTTTCTTTAGCTATTCTCAGTCTTGTGTGAAGCAGTGACATCTCTTTCTTTAGCTAGCTAGTGGAATTCACATCAGTTCAGCAACATGCTAGATAAGAAGCAAGCCCACTATAACTCAAAAAGAACATGCTTGAACCAGAAGCCAGCTAACTTAAGATGCTTTTGCTTTTCTGCTGTAATTCTATGACCACAAACTGATAAATATATTCTGGAGCGGTTTGTTACAGGAGCATGTACTGTTCAAGAGCAAACTTCCATTCCTAGGAATATTATTTTAACAGCTCAACTAACACTTTATGTCTCCTCGTTGATCGGTTATGGGTGCTTGACATGACATTCAAATTTTTTTGTAAGGTCTTTCATCAGCCTGTTGATAGTTTGTCTGTTAAAAGAAAATACAAGAGAAGCAGTTTATATACGAGAGAAACACTTAAGCACAGGAAAAGTCATTATTTCCAATATCTGGGCATTTCTTTGCTGGAGAGTCATCACTTCTAAGCATTTCTTGATTCTCAGCCTCATTTCTTCCCCACAGGACACAAAAAAGAACTCCAGCAATCAGAATATCACCCAATATACTGCGGCAAGGACACAAGAAACATACTAAGGAACAAACTAACATTCTTATAATCAGACTCTTTGTCAATTTTCCATGTAGGAAGAACAGCGGACCCATATCATTTTGCCTCTTCTGCAAGATTTTTGTTGCTGCTCTATTAGGGTGAGTAGATGTATCAGCTAGCTAGCAGCGTTTTACAGAACTGCTTAACCCGTTAACTTTTTTTGATAGGGTTGAATTGTTTCAAATTTCTTATAAAATGTTGGATTTTGTTGATGAAAACAACTGTAATCATCTTGATTGAGTGACCTTAGATAAATTTTATTGTGTCTGACTGGTGAAAATGCAGGCCAACAATGTCCGTGGATCTATACTATTCAGCGTTGCATTTAACCTCAGCAACATTTGCTACTGCTATTTATAATTGCCTTCCAGTTGTCACATTTATCTTATCCATCCTTCTGGGGTAAGCTAAAAAAATTTCTTTAGAAGAAAAAATAATAAGATGGCTTGACGATTACTTAATAATCCAAGCTTTTAAAAAGATGTGAAAATTCAAAATGGTAGGATGGAGGCTGTAGGTTGGAGATCATTCTACGGTGGACTAAAGATCCTTGGAATAGTCATAACTGTTGGAGGAGGTATGATGCTTAGCTTCTACCGAAGTCATCCTCACTCGCCAAGTCATTCAGGAAGCAGCAAAGCAACATTCTTTATAGATGAATTGGAGGGTAGAACGAGATTAATCTTAGGGCCTGTTCTAATGATCCTTTCTACCATATCTGGGTCATCTTGGCTTATCGTTCAATCAAAATTGCTGGAAGTTTATCCTGCCGGGTTACGCCTCTCCGCTTTACAGTGTCTCTTCAGTTCTGTGCAATCCTTGGAGCCAGGACTTAACTCATGGAAGCTGAGGTGGGATATTCAACTTGCTTCCCTTGTATATTGTGTAAGTCTCAGTTTTTTATACATTATTATATTGTTATACCACTTCAACATCGTTAATTTTCAGTTTTCCTAGTTATCATTCAGTTTATGGCTTGCTTAATGGAATTAATGCAGGGTGTACTTGTAACTGTAACTGCATACGGACTCCAAGTTTGGTGCGTAGGGAAGAAAGGGCCTTTTTACGTCGCCATTTTTACTCCACTTGCATTGCTGCTTACTGCTATCTTCTCAGCATTTTTCTGGGCTGAACGGTTGAACTGGGAGAGGTTTGTGCTTTGCTTTCAAGTGAAATACTCAACAAAAAAAAAAAAAAAAAACCCTAGTTAATGTTTTTCTTCTACTGCTGCCGTTTTTAATTTGTTACTTGTGTTTTGCCACAGTATATTGGGTGGTATTCTGATTGTTGGAGGTCTTTTTTGTGTCCTGTGGGGAAGAAGCAAGGCTGAGAATCAAGAAATGCGTAGAAGTGACACTCCAGCAGAGACATGCCCAGATGTTGAAAAATAATGACTGTTTTCTTGTGCTTGTGTGTTTTCCTTTACTTGTGGCGATAAATTTCTTTTTCTTTCCTATGCCGTCAACTTTTCCTGATATATTTTACTTTTTCTGTTTCTCTTAACCTCCAAGTTCCATCCCCTCTCTCCTTTTTTCTTTTTTTTTTTTAATGAGAATCAATAAAAATATTAGATTAAAAGCCAGCAAAAAGTTGGCAGAAAAGTTAAAAAAGAAAGTTACATTCAAGAAAACCAATAAATTAGAGATTCCTTTGATTTTAATTTTGAGAGTACACGAGAATTCATTAAAAGATGAATTCCTCCAATAAACAATTCCAGACTGGGTACAAGAAGGAAATGAAAACGTTCAAGAATCGTACTCCACTAGCGCAGCTGAGTTGCATATGATGTGATGTCAAGGAAGCAAATTCGTGCTCTAGTTGGTTACGTCAAAGAATAAAGACATAAAGTTACTCCATGAAGAAATGCATGAAAATTGAAGGATGAACAAGTTGAACTATTATTCAGTTAGCTGGCTTCTGGTTGATCGAGCATGCTACCTTTGAGTACTATACTTTGTATCTAGCATGGTGCTGCACCGATTGTGTATTCCACTAGCTAAAGAAAGACATTCCATCCTACCAAACAACAGAGAGTATCGAAGGTGGTTTAGAAGAAGTGCATGGCTGAGATTGGTCCTTCATGTCTATATAATTGGGAAAATGATGAAGTGTTAATCTGTCTTGATCAGTTGCAGTGGAAGCACTTTGATAACCCAGCAAGACAGTGTGTGCAGAGATGATAGTAGCTCAATTGGCCTACGAAGGATCAAATATTTTCATCAAAATTGCTATTGAGAAGAGACTCGATCGACTTGTATTTGCCACGATTTAGCACTCAAATATTTTCATTTATGAGGACAAAAACAATTATTTTTTTAATACTGTCGAAGCTTTTCAACTTCAAAAGCTAGTTAAAGGAGAAAGGTTTTTTTCTCATATTTATAATCAAATTTCAAGTTACTTCAACAACCGATGTGGAATAACCTCACAATCTCTCTCTTAATATATTTGGTTCTAAATTGACTACTTTTCATAAACTTATGTTGCGCTGATACACCGAGAATTGACAATTGTTTAACTAATACCAGTATTGATTACTATTGGTGCTTCATAATCCAAAAAATTAACTCAAATAGTAAGGGCTTTTCCTCGTATTTATAACTAAACTCTTAGTTCATCCCACAATCTATGTGTAATAACCCAATAATTATACACTATAGGTTGTTTCTTCACCTTTCACATTCTTGACTATTCAAAGACCTAGCCAACACCTCAAAACTCTAAGCATGTATTAGCAAGTAATAAGATATCAGCATGCAATGTTTAACAGTATCATTATGCATGCAAAAGTATGAAAAGAGAAATATAGAACGATTAAGCTAACTCCTTGAAATTTTAGAAACTAATTTTCCTTTTATTTAGCAACGTTGAATATGCATAAAAAAAAGGACAAAACACCAGCTCATATATCCGAAGAAAATAACGAGCCTAAAAAAAAGAAGCTCAATCTCCAGAGCTATTCTTATCCCAACCCCTAGAACTCATCGATAGGTACCAAAAGACCCGAACACCTCTATTTGAGATATGTTTTGGTCATTTTTCCAATCAATCATCATCAATAAAGGAACATGAAGTGCACTCATTAAATGAAGACACAAACTTTAAACAATACTAGTTTCATAAACCACTACCACGAGGGTTCTCCAGCCCTCTAGATGATGAAAGATCTACAACAAATGCATATATTTTCTAAGTAAATGTCATAAATTGTTGAGCATCGGAGAAAAAACTACTCTATCCCCATCTCACATTGATTGATCACCATCTTTTCATATATAGGTTAACTGGCCAAATATTATAGGTTCCGTATTCCGAGGTAAAAACATATATATTATTACATATCATCTCTATATTAGAACTAATTTTCTAAAAGACTACTCGAGCAATACATATCTTTTCATAAGCTAGTTTTGCCATCATAAAGTCCTTCAAAAAAGAAGAAGAAGAAGAAGAAGACTAGTTTTGTAGGTATTTGTCATTGATTAAACATATAGCAAGTTAAGCAACTACGTAATTAACTTGGATTACAAGCCATTCCACCATTAATTTTAATAAGAGGAACACAACCTCATCACCAAGAATAATTTTCATAAGATGTATGATCAATTATACGGATGCATT